TTTTGCTTTTTTTTTTTCTGGTACCGGGAATTGAACTCAAGACCTTGCACTTGCCAGGCAGGTGCTGTGCCACTGAGCTAAATCCCCAGGCCCAGATCTTTCCTGGTTTTAATGCTGCATTTGCCCTCAATCAGAAACTGAGGAAATAGGTTCTCTTGGCTGGAATATCGAGCTTTCCTGAAGCCTGAGATACAGAAATGGAAGTTTCTTGCAGTTAGAAACTGACTGGTGTCCTACATGGTTTTATACGGCTTTGCGATGGGACCACCCCGGCAAACGTGGGCCTTAGCTCCGCAGGGGACAGTCATCTGCTGCCAGTAGGGGGCGCTGGTCTTCATCTCAGTTTCCCATTTCAGTTCAAAGCAGGAAATGTTTTTATTTTTCCGTCCAACTGCCATCTCTGGGAGTGGGCGGAGAAATTTGCAACACCTGAATGCTAAACAACACACAAGGAAAACACAAGTGCGCTTCCTAGTTGTCACTTGTACACACGGTATCTACAGCTTTGTTTATACTACACAATTCTATTCCCTAACTATACCGGAAAATGTACCCTAATGCTCAGGGGGGAGACTAGGTTACAGAGTAGCACATATGAGTAACACAAAAGGAAGCAAATACTGGAAGGGAACTACACCAAAATGCGAACCGTGGTTCTCTTTGGGGTTGAGAGATCACGAATAATTTTTTTCTCTTTCCTAGTACAGCGGATTGAACCTAGGGCCTCCTCCCGCCGACTAGGCAAGTGCTCTACCAGTGATGTTGTTTTTTCTTTCCCCTTCCCGAATTTTCCAAGTTTTGGACTACTGGTAGTCCGATGTCTGTCGTTAGCATTAAGCACTGCTTTTCCTTTTCTTTTCTCTCTGCCTCAAAAAAATGTACGTGGCGTGTTCAAGCAGACCGACAATTGCAAGAAAGATTTCATCACTTGATCCAGATGCAAAGCAGGTCCTCTCGGTCAGGTGACAGCGTTCCCACCTGCATAAGCTCCGCGAGCACTGGCCTCGCCGGAAGCTTGCAGCAGCGCCAGGGAGCTGATCCTCAAAAACACACGTTTAGGGAAAAGGAGACCAGGAGGAATCGAAGCGATGCCCAGGGGTTTACATTTGGGGCTTCCCATAAGGCTCGGCGGAAAGCGGCTTTGGGCTTCCAGGACCGGTCTACACTCGCAGAAGCGCCCTGGCGCGGGGTCTGATTCCTTTCCCCGCAGCGGGGATCGGTCCCGGGTGGGGCTCTGCGAGCCCGGCGGCCATCCCAGCGCGGAAGGGGACGCAGGGTGCCGCCCTACCCTCGCCCTCGGAATCCTCTGGGCGAAGAGAACCGCCGTCCAAAGGCTCCCAGTGCGGAGAGGCTTCTCCCGCAGACCCACCGTCGCACACCTTCGGGATCAAGCCGGGCCTCTCGCAGGGCCAGCGGTTGCCAGGGGGCCCCGCTTCAGGCTGCCCGGCCGCCTGGCGGAAGAGGCGGCCGTGCCGCCCCGACTCACGGCTGCATCCGGGTCCCTCACACTCCGGCCCAATCCTCGGCTTCCTCTCTTCCCACCGTCTTGGGCCCCCCCCCCGCCGCCAATCCCAGATCAGCTCTCAGCCTATCATGCTGGCACAGGAGTGAAGGCAGATGCCGGCCAATGAGACGGTGCTTCCCGTTTGAAGTGTCCAATGGATGGGCGTCGGGGGCGGGCGCTACTAGCTCGGAGGTTCGGTTGCGCGTGTGCCATGGACTCAGCCGCCTGGTGATATTGACAATAGGAGAGAGAAAGGGGCATTGACCGGGACCCACCGCAGGTAGCGAACGGCGGCTCCGGCAGCGGCGGCTGTAGCTCCAGCGGCTCCTCCTCCTCCTCGCGACTCCTCCGCCCGCTGCCGCTGCAGATCCAGGCTTCCTCCCTTCCCCCTTCCCACGTCGCCGCCGCCGCCGCCGCCGGGTCCGGGCAACGAGCAGAGGCGCCGCCCGCCGGGAATGTGAGCGGGGAGCACGGCGGAGCCGCAGCGGGGTCGGTGCGATTTGATGGGCCGGGCCCGCGGGGGAGGATCGTGAGGCC